TCCCAAAAAAAAAAAAAAAAAAAAAGATGGCTCCAGGCTATTTGTGGGGAGCTGCCCGCGATGAAGACGCCGGTCTTCAGCCCGTCCCGTGCGGGTCCCTACGTTGCAAAAAAACCCTCGAAAAGTTGTTGAAATTACCCTAATCCAGCGTTGTGCTAACGTGGACGTTGTTCCTATTCTCATGTCGAATTTTATATCGATTAACTCTTATGTTGTCTACACACGGAAACAGCCACACAAATTCCTCAGCAGCATTGATTTCCCTGAAAGAGGGTCTAAACCCAAAACACAGACATTCAGCTAATGCTCCTATAGCATATAGGAGCCATGTGTGTAGCCTGTGATATCTGTCTTCTCCGTGCCATTTGATGCAGCCAGCCATTGCAACTGTGTGACAATTCAATGCAGTGCTTCCACATTTCACACCCGAGGAGCCATGTACCCGAACTGGCCCGGGCCTGTCCCCCCTTCTGTAGAGGTGGCCATTTACTATAGGCAACTGCTGCTGCTCAACTCAAATTTCCCTCCAACCCAAACACACAGTCGTCCTAAAGTAGCCCGCCCCGGTGGTGAGTAATTGAGAACGGTATGAAGTCCACCTTTCCTCTGTTCTATTCCGTGTCCCTCTGCTTCCGTCCTCCGTCCTCTCCCCCTCTAGCCCCTTCTTGCCCTCCCCCTCCTCTTGTGTACAACAAAAGAAGGGAGAGGAACTATCATCGTTACGAGAACAGACCTTTCATCGCGTGGAAGTGGGCCCATTATGGCACACAGGGATGGGGACAGCTTGCCCTCATCCACAATCAACGTAGCAAGCCTTGTACAGTGGAGGCTGAGAAAAAGGGGAGATGCAAGAACGAATCAAAGGGGCACTCCAAACGGGAAGGCGAAGTAACGATGGCGAAGAAAGGGATAGAACAGATCTATTGTGCTTCACGCGGCTCCCTATAGAGGTAAAACTGTTTCGTTGTTGGATTCACTTATCTCAGATGTGTTTCATTGTTGGATTCACCTCTCTCTCTCTCTCTCTCTCTCTCTCTCTCTCTCTCTCTCTCTCTCTCTCTCTCTCTCTCTCTCTTTCTCTTTCTCTTTCTTTTTTTCTTTTTCCT